AATATATAATTTTCAATAAAAAACTACATTAACATGAATGAGCCCATTACGCCTGGTTTCAATATAATTTTTTCAACTTTCATAGTTTTGATATACATGTAATTTTCTAAGTCTTTTTCAACCTAAACAAAGTAGTGCTCAGAGTAAACTATATTTTTTTTATTAATCATTATCATTCACATTTAAATTAAAATGATCTTCGCAACAAAAATGCGTCCCCTTGGCAGGTACAAAGTCGGCGCTCCGCATAGCGCGCTGCCATAACTTTCGTGATTTTAAGTTACTTGGCAGTGAAATAAAAATTTTGTCTAGTGCAGTTACCGAAGAATTCTTGCATTTAGGAACGATGCAATAGTTGTAACGTCATCCTTTTTCATCATTATTCATCTCACGCATTTGACACACTGCAGTAAACAACACACAACTTGCTTTCTACGGTTTTAGCACACGTATTTCGCTTATTCGCGAAAGATTTATAAAATTTTGTAAGTTCACGATAAAGTATTGTGAATAATTTAATAATAATTTTCAGTATATTGAAAAATATAAAACTGTATATTGAAAAGAATGCAATCCACCTTATCAAAATGCAACTTTCAACAAAGTTTTGTCGCCAGAAATGCAGACAATATATTATCAAACGTGTTCAAAAACTTATTTTCCAAATTTGTAAGTGATCGTTATCAATAAAACTAAAGTAGGATTGATTTTTTTTTGAAACACAGCTAATGATATTCTTGAAGGTAAATATTATATTATTCGGATTTTCACAGTATTAGGGTTTTTCAGAAAACCATTTTGGACTATTTCCTTTCTTACTGTAGAAAGTTTGCTCTATCAAATTTGATTTTGCGTTTTGTTTCGAAATGATGTGTCTTTGCAAAGTAATTTTTATTTAATCGAATATAAGTTTTGTGTGGAGTTTTTCTAATCGATAGTACTCTGGAAATTGTTCAAACACAAATAGTGTGTGAATGTTGATTTATTGTGTCCTTTGTTCTTTTTTTTATTATTTTATCCTCTAAATAATTTTTTTGTATACACTGATTGTCAAGAAATTTATATTGGTCCTATAAAATCTATTGAAAATAATATTCCTTAACCAGAACAAAAATGTTTTTCCCGTCTTTCGCTAACCAAGTTAGCATCAGCGTATCTAGACGAATCATTATCTTACATAACGATGGTCATTAAATTGATTCCTATTGTCTAATATTATTTGCTACCTGCCGGATATTTAATATTTTTTCTATTTTCTCCCTGTTATTACGTAAGCTTGTAAAAAAAGAGCTGATAAATTGGTTAAGGCTTTCCCGGCGAGATTTTCAATGTTACTATCTTCATTCATTCTCCGATGTTCATTCAGCCTTGTACCCATGGACATGTTTGGACATGTTGAAACATGTTTGGACATGTTGAAACATGTTTGGACATGTTGAACGTTCCAATAAAGGAGGGTTATTTTCCTCTTACATTTGAGACGATATCGCCACGGTGAAAATTAACTATTGTACTGTGATATCGCGACAAAGTGTGACTTGCGTATGTCTTCATGAGCATATTATTGAACCGAAATGTCTGAGTCACTTGCAAAAAAAGGTGAAAAAACAGGTAGCCAGATACAGCTTAACACTAGCGGCCCACTTATAAGGGTATAGTTCCTGTCTAATATATTAAGAATAATGATCTTTTCAAACAGAAAAATCACATTTGCTCACGGTCCCACAAGTTCGTTGGTGATTGGGAACACTTAGAGATACGCAACAAAAAAATTGTCAATTTCAGATGGATTTTTTCAAGTAGTTCATCCTACCACAAAAAGCGGAAATGAAATGTAGGAACGTAATATTGTCGGTAACTCAAGTGGGCAACCCAATTCATCTTACCCTTAAACCCACCCTAATTCAACCCTACCCCTACATACTCAACCCTACCCTAACTCATGTAATAAATATGAATGCTAACTCTGCAGTATTTACGTTTGAAAAAATATATATATTCAAATATACATCGAAAACATTATTGCTAAGAATTTGGGATATACAGAAATGTTATTCCACAGAAACTTCAATTGAATTGAATACTTACAAAAATTATCATCATCCTGACCATATCTTCCTTCACATTCATCATCATCTATAAGTTTATAAAAAAAATGGGAATTAGGTGAATTGTGTTTTAAATAAAATCGTATCATTATCAGTTCATTTATTGTAATCAAATTATAAAAAGCCTAAAAATGTCAGTCCTCTCTTCACCAAACCTGGATAGCTGGAATGTGGGCGGCATAAGCCAGATGACTAGAAACCACAGCTGGAGCTGAGTAGGCAGTTACCAAAGGTTTGCTGACAACATCGCTTCTATAACTGTGACTTACTGCAGCGGGCAGAGCTTCTGGGGCAACGAATTTTTCAACAATAGGGGAAGCAACTACTGCTGGGGCAGTATAGGCAGAAACAACTGGTTTGCTGATGACGTCACTTCTGTAACTGTGGCTGACAGCTGATGGAACTGCTACTGGAGCAACGACTTTTTCAACAACTGGTGAAGCAACAACTGCTGGGGCAGCATAGGCGGCAATCACTGGTTTGCTGATGACGTCTTTCCTGTAACTGTGACTTACTGCAGAGGACACTGCTACTGGAGCTACAACTTTTTCAACAATGGGGGCAGCAACCACTGCTGGGGCAGCATAGGTGGCAACTACTGGTTTGCTGATGACGTCACTTCTGTAACTGTGGCTCACTGCTCCAGGCAATACTTCCACAATTGGGTAGGAATGAGCAAAACCGGAATTTAATAATCCACTTGGTTTAGCTACGGCTACGGCTACGAGAGCGGACAACACCACCAATTTGAACATTTTAGTAAAAAAGGTCTGTGTTGCGAGTGTACAAACTGACTGACAGAAACTGATGCTCCCTCAAAATTTTTCCATGTTTATATATAGTACGAAAATAAGGTGGAGCCTAATAAAAAAATCGCACATGACGTTAATGCGGAGGAATTAATTCGACAATACTTTCGTTCTTATTTTAATCCGTTGAATACCTTGAAAAAGGTCGATATATGTTGTACAAAGGTTGTTTCAGAATGAGACAATTCCTCTTGTAGGTGTGTGTGGTCTACTTTGAAATTCAGAGTGCAATCGAAGTCACTGATTAATATCCGTATTTATAAATTAAGTGAATATTCTGAACCTTTCAAAACGTATTTATTCATATGTGAAAATACTCAATGATCATGATTGAATTTCCATGAAAAAAAAATAGCAATCATATTAATATACTGTAATTAAATGTACCAATATATCCTAGATATGCATCAGAGTGAAAAAGTATCTTGAAAGTGAAATGTGCACCAAAGTCATAAAAATCAGTCCAGCTGTTCTTGAGTTCTTTTATTATTTCAATTGATGAAATATCATTTTTCTTGATACTTATCTTATTCCCAACTAAGACAAATCCAAAAATACAAAAGTCATAAAAATTGGTCTAGCTGTTCTTGAGTTCTTTCATTGATATCATTTTTTCATGTCAACCAACCTTTTGAACCTTCCCTAGACTTCCACCAATTATTCAAAACTAAAATTAGCCAAATCGGACCAGCCGTTTTCAAGTTTAAGCGAGACTAACAGCAATTAATTATTATTATTATCCTATTACTTATGAGACTAAATGGCTACACCAAAGACTCTTCCACACGGAGAGCTTCACGTCTCTCGCTCCAATGTGGGAACGTTTTTCACTCCTACCTCCGCCCATTCACACGGGGAACCTTTTTAGTTATTGGCTACTTGAGGTCAGTCGTTGAATGGATCTTACGTGAGCTGTTGCCATATACCTTCTCTACCTTCGACACAACCTCGACGACAGAAACGTCATCGATCAAGAATAGGATGGATAAAGTTGCGAAATCTACATTGAGCACCTTGCAGACTTCCACCTAACTTTTTACGACTTCATTTTGGTCCTTTTAAATGTCGAGACTTTCATCCTAAAGAACGGGTCGATCGCAGACAGACTAATTAAGCTCCCACTCATCCTTTTGCATTGTGAGGAGGAGACGTGACTCCCCGGTTCGAGGTGCAGGAGACGTGAGAGCTTTCGCCTCCCGAAACGTGGCGGCTCCCGCTCTTCGTCTGAAAGCTCATTTGGACTCGTTGCATTTCAGCGCCAAAAGCCTTCCTCTCTCTCTTGGAAGGAAGAGACGTGAAGCTTCCCGTGTGAAAGGGCGCTAACAATCTCATCGAGAGCAATCGAATAAATAAATTATAGGGGAAGGTGGTTGGAAAAAAATCTCAATTTTATGATTCTAAATAACCGTGTTCGCACAGATGAAGGAAAGGTGGGCATTTTGCATTATAAAACCCATGATACCACTTATTGATATAAAAAATTCAGACGATTTGGAATTTTGAACTTTTTTTGAAATGACAAAATGGTTAAGGCTTTTCCGGCCGAGGTTTTCAGTGTCAGTATTTTTATTCGGGTTCGAAGGCCGTCGATTTTTGGAATTTTTTCAAGCTTCTTCAGAAGTTCATACATCTTGAGTTTATCTCCGATAACTGAGTAACACGACTACGTAAAGCGTACTCGTATTTATGTTGATTCAGGTAGAACACCAAACTACCTGAATCAACATAAATACGATTTAAGCAGTCGTTATACAAAGTCATCGGAAATAAACTCAAGATGTACAAACCTCTGAAGAAGCTAGCCACTCGAACCTGCGAAACGTCAGAAAGAAATTAAAAAAATCGACGGCTTTCAAATCCGAATAAAAATAGGGACACTGTTTTTGAAATGTATCCCTTTTGAAATCCATGTATATGACTTCATTGAAACTCTGAAGTTAAGATACATTTCATCAAAAACAAGATTTTTTCAGTTCTTTCCAGAATGGCCCTTCTTGACGAAATCAAATGAATATGTGGAAATGATTGAAGTTCTAAAAAAATTCGCAAAACGCCGAAAGTAAAAACAGTAAACAGTAGAATTGTAGGTGTTTTCAAATAAATTACAGTTTCATCTAAAATGAAACTTCATGTCTTATACTCGACTGAAAATTAGTTATCCATTATGTAGTGAAAGTAAAAGTGATATCAAAGATTCTTTAATAAATAGCAAAATTATTCAATTTCAAAATGTTTCAGTCCTCTCTTCACCAAGCGTGAACAGCTGGAACGTGAGCAGCGTATGCCAGATGGCTAGAAACCACAGCTGGAGCTGAATAGGCAGCTACCAAGGGTTTGCTGATAACATCACTTCTGAAGTTGTGACTAACTGCAGCGGGTACTGCTACTGGAGCAACGATTTTTTCAACAATGGGGGCAGCGTATGCAGCAACCACTGGTTTGCTGATGACGTCACTTCTGTAGCTGTGGCTAACTGCGGCTGGAACGGCTAATACTTTTTGTACAACAGGAGCAGCAACGACTGCTGGGGCAGCGTAGGCGGCAACAACTGGTTTGCTGATCACATCACTTCTGTAGCTGTGGCTCACGGCACCAGGTACTACTTCCACTAATGGAGAGGAGTAAGCCAAGGCGGAGTGTGCCAAGCCACTGGGTTTAGCTACGGCTACGGCTACGAGAGCAGACAACACCACCAATTTGAACATTTTAGTAAAAAAGGTCTGTGTTGCGAGTCCAAAAACTGACTGATAGAAACTGATAGTCGTTCAAACAATTCTCGTGCTTTTATAGTCAAGAATTCAAGGTGGAACTTGTTACAAAAAATCAAACTATTACGTTGGCGATGAGGAACTGATTTCGACAATACTTTCGAAGAGATTTCAATCAACCTTGAGAGAAGTCAGTATGTGTAACACAAAGGTTGTTTCAAAATGAGACTAATACTATTTCGGGGGTTTGCTGTAACTTGGAATTCTAAATGCATTGAAGGCGTTGAATAATAAATTGATCAGTGAATTATGGAAGTAGTACAATCAAAATATCCGAAGAAAATTCAAACTGGTGCATCAACATGAATTCTTGCACATTATTACATTAGTCGAATAGATTCTTGTTCATTGTTAACTTTATATCCAGGTCGAGAATTGGATTGAAAAATTGTTATTATAAAAAATATACATAGTAGATAAAAAATAATATTGTCTAATGCCGAGGTTCAAGAATGAAGTGGAAAGTTAAAATTCGGTAGAAAAATGAATGGTAACTTATTTTCTAAAATATTTCATTCGATCTATTCACTAGGTACATAGTATAAAACAAAGTCGCTTCCCGCTGTCCGTACCTATGTGTGCTTAGATCTTTAAAACTACGCAACGAATTTTGATGCGGGGTTTTTAATAGATTGAGTGATTCAATAGGAAGGTTTATATGTATGTATATAACACGCATAATATAGTAGAGAAACACTGATCATTCTAGAGGTTTCTAATGTGATGTCGTGAATAAACACATTTTTTGCGCTTACATTGCAAACGCAGACTGAACCGTACGAGATGGATAAAAAATGTACTACAATATTGTATACCTACCTTTAAAAGGCCTACAAAATATTCCGCGATGGTATATATCTGTCTTTTAGGGATAACCCACAATAACTATTTTTCATGATTTACTTTTTACGAGAAATAATGTCTTATTTACGAAGCGATTTTAGGCAATAGAGCAATAATCCTTATCTAATCAAGTATGTTAAATACATTGTACATTCAATATGGATCATTATGGTCCTTTATAGCATGTAATTTAAATGAATATTTTCGAAGATATCAGTGATTTGAAATGCAGGGACAAGGCGGTTGCGACGGTACTGACGGGGGGCCGGAGGCGCGTGCCTATGAATAGCACGTCGAAGGCTGCGCTTCTCCCTATGGCACTTTATGATTAGCAGCGATCGCACGCGTTTATATGTATATTTAGTATCAGCATTGCACCCGTGCTGAGCCGGGGCGGGGACTAGTTTAAGATATTAAATAAGATTTTTCAACAAAGTAAGCATACTTCCTGAACTTTTCTTTTCATAATCTGACAATTAGATACATCCAAATCAATAGAGAATTCGTGACACTGTATAAGGACCAATTAAAAAGTCACCCTGAAATATTATGGTGTATATGTGGTGTATCTATAGTGTTCAACATATTAATTTATACTATTCACTCATCACAAAAAAAATACAAATACTTTTTCGAAATGAAGCATTATTAAAAAAAACATTTTTGAAGGGAATGTTTCGCTTAGAAGTTTAAAAAAGAGGAAAATACACTTCAAATTGAAATCAAATCCACGAAATCAGTACACTTCACAATTTCACGATATAAATATCGTATAATGTTTTCCCTAGAATTACTCATGTCAAGATCAAGTTACATATTGTATTCCTGTTTATTTACATAGGTGATTCTCGCAACAAGCTATCATATCATATAGAATGTCTCATGGAATAAACGTATGAGTTTGATCCAATTTAAAGTTTTTCTTTTTTTCATAGCATTCGCGATACATTCTGTGACCTCTTTTTGTGACCAACCCTTTCAGACCACCAGTCTTAAATCTTTTGCTAACCCTCCAACCAGTTGAAATTTCTAATCAGATTCTGGATATTCGGCAGTTTTTTTTTCTAGTTTCAGTCGATCGTATTTTTTTCTGAATGAGGCCAATGTTCAAGATTGTTGTTATTGAACTGATTAAAACGCACCGGTCTGTCGATGTTGATCTTTCAAAGACAAATCTATGGTATATGATGAAATTGGCCGATACTTGACGATAATCCATAACTAATGTATTCAAAAAACTATTTATTATGAGATTTTGACTAAGCAGTTTTACAAAAACGCAACACGTTTTTCACCATACAATGTCTTTACAGCAAAAACACGCCCGAAGAAGCCATTGTATGGCGAAACACGTGTTGCGTTTTAGTAAAACCGTTATAGTGAAAATTTCACAATAAAGGGTTTCTTGAATGCGTTACAAATCTATGGGATGGATTTTAAATTCTTGTGATAACTCATAGTTGCAACCTTCTAGTCTCTGATATTATGCACTTCAGATTAGAAAAATGTATCTATGTTGAAAAGTACTGCACGTCACTCTGTTTCTTACCAAAAACCACTGGAATAATGAATCAATTCTCTTCTTCCATTTACATGCTTTTTATATATTTTGGCCGATACTTGATGAAAATCCGTAACTTATTCTAGTTTCTTATTCAACACTTCATTATGAGATTTTCACTGGAGTGTTCACAAAACCGCATTGTTTCGCTATACAATATCTTCCTCAAGCGTTATCATGCATCCTCATCTCTAATATTCATCAGGGAAAATATCCGAGGCTTTTCTTCAACCATCCCTAGTGAAAGAGTAATAAATTGATGGATGTAGCCGTTACTACGTGGCAGGAGATCATGATGAAAAGAGAAATGAAAATTTTATTTTATACCACTTGCATTTGTAATTAACGTTACTGCAGTTTCGTATCTGTTTAAATCTGTTTTTCCGTTAACCAGCTGTCGCACCCCTACGAACGACAACCCTCAGAAGTCGAAACTTGTGCGAGCTAAGGATTACCGAGGTCTTACCTTTTAACGTGTGATTCCTAACACATATACGTATACAAGGACATTTCCAAACGAATACAATAAACTGTACCTATTCGTTTGGAAATTGTAAAAAAAAACATAGGAAGTTTTAATTCTCATTTTTCAAAATAAATAATGTCATGTAGTAATAAAGTAGACTCCAATTTACGTTTTTTTATACTGTTTAGCTTAACTACAATTAATGATTCATTTCGACATATCTATTGACACAATTTAGACAATTATCCTTATAAAAATACATTTTTTACCAATGGAAATTGACTTCTGATTATGATTTTTCATATCTATTTTGCTTAAATAAAATAGCTAATTTTCATTTTATTGGACCAGATACCTATTGAAACCTAATAATTATAATTTTTAATCAAGTGGAATACATCAATTTCATTGTCCTTTTTTTCCTACAGATAAATTTTGTTAACAATGAAATGAAAGATATTTATGACCACACTATCCGTGTATGAAAATCCACGCCTTCAATGAAGGTCAGATCCTGAAATGGGTTGAAAAAAATAACCGAATAAATCTTGGTGGTCTTGATCTTTGTCAAGGCTAAGCGCGGTTTTTTATAGACCACGCCCAAAATTAATGGTTCATTTCCAGTAGCACTATTTCTTTGGGCGTTTAATGACTGATTGTTTGGGTCAGTCAGAACAATGAGGAAAAAGTTCAGAAGGTTGTATTTTTGTTGCATTTTTTTAGTGGTATTTGTATTTTATTATTGAATGCAGTTTCCATATTTGTCAGTAAAAGTCGACTAGGTGAATAATTATAATATTATAATCTATACATATCTCGACAAAAAATGTAGGTGAAAACTTGTAGATAACCAGTAGGTATTGATCTATGAGCTTTTGCTTCATTTTATTCAGCATGAAATCGTTAAAAATCCACATTTTCTTTGTCGTCTTTATTTTCGAGATTTCTTATGTCGTGCACTTCAGCAAAAAAGGAAATCGGGAGGAAAAGATGAAAATTAAGAAATTTAAAATAATCTCCCAAATGGATATATGAGATATAAGTATATGGGTAAAAACATATTGGAAAACAAAACATTTTTTTCATCTTCAATTTCCAAATTGTTCATTATGGCGTTTACATATTTCCAATCTGACGTTTCGTTTCAAAAGACAATCATTAATTTCAACGTTTTGAATGGGTCGGAAAAAAGAATTAACAGATATCAGTTCTATACACATAATTGGGATTCTCTGAGGTTCAGAGCGGCTTCAAAATGAGCAAATTTTTCAAATTCAACTGATTTCATATCGATTTTCTCGTTGCTGGCCCTTCTTCGGGTCCGAAGACGATTGTGGATACTAACAATCGAAACGTCGTGACGTAACTTGGCTTGGAATCTTTTAATTTTTATTTCTATTTTCCATTTTTGTTAATAATATTTTTTAATTTTCAGGTTTTATAAAATTTTCAATTTTTTATTTTCTGGTTGTAGCTTGTATGTTATTTCCTTGTAATTTCAGTTTTTTGTTTTAATAAAATTGTTATTTTCGGTTAATCTTTTATTTTTTTCAGGAATTTCAAATCAATTTATATTATATTAGACAATGGAAGTCCGAACTGATGAAATATACCACATAATGGTCCATAACTTTTAAATTGTTTTAAAAATAAAAGAGTTCAAAAATACGTAACACGTGGTGTTTTCAAAACAGCAAATGAAACAAAATCCGAAGATTGCAGCAATTCATAAACTCCAACTACAGGCCCGGATGCCACCACTCTAAGCTCGTTGCCTGGTGTGACGTCAAGATGTACCGCAGGCAATCTCACATTTTCAATTGCTCTTGCTCAGTTGTTAATTGACATATAAACCGGAAAATTTTGTGTGATACTTGGGAGATGATTTACTTTTATAATATATAATTTTCAATAAAAAACTACATTAACATGAATGAGCCCATTACGCCTGGTTTCAATATAATAAATAATTTTTTTGTATACACTGATTGTCAAGAAATTTATATTGGTCCTATAAACAAAAAGCTATACTTTTTTATATAAATAGAATTGAAATGATTTGAAAAGAATGAAAAAAAATAATAAGTTTACCCGATCTGTTGCAGTATGAAGAATATTATCTACGTCAGAGTATTTTGAATAAAAACCTGAGTTATTTCAGTTTTTTAATGGGAGTAAAAATTTACAAAGCCTAAACATGTCAATCCTCTCTTCACCAAGCGTGAACAGCTGGAACGTGAGCAGCGTATGCCAGATGGCTAGAAACCACAGCTGGAGCTGAGTAGGCAGCTACCAAAGGTTTGCTGATAACATCACTTCTGAAGCTGTGACTCACTGCAGCCGGTACTGCTACTGGAGCAACGATTTTTTCAACAATGGGGGCAGCGTATGCAGCAACCACTGGTTTGCTGATGACGTCACTTCTGTAGCTGTGGCTAACTGCGGCTGGAACGGCTAATACTTTTTGTACAACAGGAGCAGCAACGACTGCTGGGGCAGCGTAGGCGGCAACAACTGGTTTGCTGATCACATCACTTCTGTAGCTGTGGCTCACGGCACCAGGTACTACTTCCACTAATGGAGAGGAGTAAGCCAAGGCGGAGTGTGCCAAGCCACTGGGTTTAGCTACGGCTACGGCTACGAGAGCAGACAACACCACCAATTTGAACATTTTTGCAAAAAAGGTCTGTGTTGCGAGTCTAGGGACTGACTGACAGAAACTGATACTCATTCAAATTTCATGTACGCTTTTATATATTTAAAATTGGGCCGGAACTGGTTGTGAAAAACTTAACCATGACGTTTACAAGGAAAAAATCTAATTTCGACAGTACTTTCATTCTCGTTTCGATTCGGGAATCAGACCTTGAGGAAAGCCAATTAATCTCGCACATGTGAACGCCTTCAAGAAGGTCCGCCGATCGAAACAATGTTCATAATGGTGACTGGTTTACATTTCTTATTCATTCATTTCATTTAGGCAACCGCTATTTACATTCTTCAAACGTATCACCTGAGATACACGCAACTGTTGTGAACCAAGAATTGTTGTGGAGTAATATTGATAAAAAAACGTTGATAAACCATTTTTGTCGAATTTCAATCATTTCACAAGGTTTTTGTAGACAACGCATAATTTTATAAGTATATCTCTTAAATGAAACAAAAATGGTGTAATATGATGTCCTTATAAATTGTTATTAAGTATATCAGAACTTGATGGTTTAATTATTAAATGTTTGTAAAAAAGATAAAAGGTAAAGTCAAAATTTCATTCTTTTTTCTGGATTTGTTTTAATGATTTTTTAGAAAATTTAATAAAAGCGTTTAATCGAACTGAAAATGTGTATCAGGATTTTTTTACTAAATATTTGAATGTTTTTTTTTTCATATCATTACTATCTGTAAAAAATATTTCACAAACGTTTGAATCAAAATATAGGTATTACTGGAGTTTTAATCCCAATCTCGATAAGTGTTTCAATCCCCAAGTGATCATCTTCAAGAGGAAGATGAAACTAGTTCAATCTTCCTGAATAGTTAATTTTCCTCTTGAAGATGATTATAGAAATTATTTGGTAAAAGTGGTGGGCAAATATATCTTGAAGGTATTTTATATCTCCAAAGACGGTTTGATTCGTAATTCATTCCCAACTTATTCAAAAATCATTCAAAACTCAAGTTGTATAATATAAAGATGATTCAATTTGAATATTTCAAATTTATTATTTGAATATTCAAGAAATATTGTTTTGAATGTTCGGTTGCTACTTGCAACAAATTCAAAAAACCACAAATCAAATATTTAAAATTTATTATTTGAATATTCAAGAAATATTGTTTTGAATGTTCGGTTGCTACTTGCAACAAATTCAAAAAACCACAAATCATCTAATTCGGAAAATGATAAGCTACAAAATGAAATTCTGTTCCACCCCTAATCTCTATTTCTCACCAACTGAAGTATGGACAGGGCAGGACAAATTTTGATAATATCCTTCGTTCCAAACTGAAAATAAGGTAAATTTCTTCACAAAAAAAGAGTTCAGCAAATGTAACTGTATTTTTGTGAGTACACAAAATTTGGAGAAGAGACTGTAGGAGAGTTTCCAGTTCTTAGTTCTACAGTGCGAAAAAAATTCAAAACTGTAGGACCCTTGAAGGGCATCCAGGGGAGCTTGGAGGCAGAGAACGTCGTGAATTTGGGGAAGATGAAGTAGGCCGAAAAACTCATTTCAACTATATATGCATATCGATGAGATTGAACAGATTTCGGCTGCCCCATGTCAAAATACAATAACTGACATTCACTGATTCCGGAAATATATCGTAGCACAGATTCCGGAGGTGTACCGTAATAGAAAAATAGTATATACTCCTTTTTTGCACGTTCTACAAATTGTCTATTTTTATATTTTGTTTTGACATAGAGCAGCCGATTTGTCCAATTATGTAAAGAAGTTCTGAAATTCTACTTCAAAAACTGTATGCAACCCTCAAAGCAAGTTATTTTCTTTTTGTTTCTAATCGAAATATAGAGACTGATTAAATTTCCAAGTATCATAAAAAAACCTAAATAGATCTGCAGATATTGAATGATTTTCGTCTTTACTGAAACAAATGAATTCGCAAACATATCGACGCCCAATTTTTCACACCTATTGGAATGTGTTCTGTTCTTGTTATTTCCATACTTGCTTTTATAACCCATTCGATTAGTCATTTTGAAGAACCTGATATTATTTAGGTCACCTTGAAAAAAATGTGGTACTTTAAAGAAATCTTGATTTATATTCATTCTTGGTTCAGTAGATAGTTTGATCGAAATTTGGAAACACATTGGCGTAAATATAATTGGATTTAAGGAGGTCCATTGCTTCAACTTTTTGAAGGGTTCGCCTTGATTGTATATGCAAACACATCTTGTTAATATATATAAGGAAATATTTTGATCAATTCATTCCATACAGTCACCTATACGCCAAACCACAAAAATATTCAATAAAAAAATGTTTATCTTGCTAAAAAATTATTTTTATTATTCTCATTTTTATTATCAGGATTGTATATATAAAAAAGTGCTGCTTTTACAATAATATAAATACTGAAATATATTTTTCAACAAAAGATTTCTTTGGAGGCGATTTGTATTTCAATAATTGCACACAATGCATTCATACAATGAATGTTGTGAACTGTCATGCATACAAAATCTCGATGTAGCACGAACTATTGGGAAATGACTCCAACCAATAATGCAATTACGAAAGGTGGCGATACCAATCAAAATGCAGTTCAAAATTGAACAATCATGAGGTATCTTTCACACACTTGTCGATATAAAAATGAATTGCTGTTCGTAGACACGACAGAATAGTCTGCACACTTCGCCGTCACGTCAGACACACCACAACATAATTCCGGCTTAAGTATTGAAAAATTATATTTCATCAATAAAAATAATAATGATAAAAGAACTCAACAACGGCTAGACTAATTTTTATGATTCTTGTGCTTTTGGATTTGTCTTCGTCGGGAATATGATAATAACTATCGAGTATTAGTATATACTCGTGCTGTAGCTACGTTTTGTTCAAGCGCAATAGCACAATACGCAACAGCACACACAGTCCAATATTCCGTGGCGATTTTCTGTCGTAGTTCGTCACGCTGTTCTCGTTTGTACTTTTGACATAGCGCCATCTATTGGATATTTCTTAATACAGTTAACATACCATTGTCTAATCCTTAGACAATGCTTAAGTCGCCTCATACCGCTATCTGTTAGACTTTCATCGAACTAACAGATGATTTTGATTCTTTGCAAAGAATTACAAAGCCCATATAAGCTCAGAAGTGGTATTTTCGTGCCACCTAAAATTTTTAATACCTACCCTGACCACCAGACAGCGATGGCAGTACGATGTCAGTATTTAATTTAAGTATTTAGCTATTAACAGTATTGGGTAGCTAGCAGTCAAGCAGTCGCTGAAAACCAGTCGGCCGGATCATATCGAAGTTGGGATGTACGCCAAAATTAAATTAAATTGAAAAGACGACTGGTGTCAGTGACTGCTGACATCGTACTGCCATCGTCCTCTGGTGGTCAGGGTAAGTACTGAAAATTTTAGGTGACACGAAAATGCCACTTCTGAGCTTCGAGTTTCTATGGGCTTTGTATTCTTCGTCAGATAATGAACAAATAACTCGCTATAAAATAATACTGCGATTATGATTATAAATTGAGATAAGAACTAGCCTATCTTTCAAATTGCATAAAACTGCACACAGAGTGGTGCAGTATTATCCAATCGGTTTAGTAGTTTAGGAGTCCATAGCAGACAAACAACTTGTCATATAATTTATATATTTTGAAGGCAATCAATGAAATCGCAGCAAATAGTTGTCGTCATTTTGACGAATCATCAAATGATATGCGTGATAATTCATCGAGCTAACATTTTTGGTAGTTTTCTCATCTGAAATCAAAACAGTTGAATTAATATTTTGTAGGTAAAACTCCCATGCGTTTTTTTGAAGTTATACTTCTTTTAGTGCGTAAGGGAAAAATTATTTTTTTATTATTATTATTTCTTCGATGCGCGCGCACACTATTACGAAAAACGGACACCCTGAAGTTAGGTTCTTCTTCTTCTTCTTTATATGGTCATTGCTTGTCCTCCTCCTATCCATAGTGAACAACAGAAGCTTAGTCCAGGGGCGTTTTAGAACGATCATTATATACAATAAATTAATGAATTAATTATTTTTATCGTCGTTTTAACACATTGTAATGAATATAATAAAGTACTTTTGCAAACTTGAAGCACAAAAGTCCCAATAATTCGTAAAAGACAACTGAAAGGACATTGTTATCACCCGAAGACGATTGTGGATATTAACAATCGAAACGTCGTGACGTAACTTGGTTTGGAATCTTTTAATTTTTATTTTTCATTTTTGTTAATAATATTTTTTAATTTTCAGCTTTTATTATTATTATTTCAATTTGGTTGTAGCTTGTAAGTTATTTCCTTGTAATTTCAGTTTTGGTTTTAATAAAATTGTTATTTTCGGTTAATCTTTTAGTTTTTTCAGGTATTTCAAATCAATTTATATTATATTAGACAATGGAAGTCCGAACTGATGAAATACACCACGAAACATTGTCAACCACCTTCAAACAAGGGACATTGTTTCTGTTTTACCGTTTGATTTAGTTCTACTATCTTCGACAGAAATCCTATCTAAAGATGAACTTTCCTGTTGGGAACACGAACCTCAGAGTATTACCTGTGGTATTACTCTGAAACACGAACACGCGAAAACTATTCGATTACTCGTGTTATAGGTTATGTCGGTGTTACTCGCCATGAACATGGAAAATAAAATGTCATCTGTCATTTGTCTAGTACCACTACCACTTCAATTTCGCCATTGACGTTTTTAAAAAAAATTGCTTGTAATTGTTATTCCTGAAAATACTTTTTCAGATAATTTCAATACAATAACAATTTCAAAATGCCAGATCACTTAGGAGAAGATATGCGAAAGACAAAAGACACAAAGGATGAACCTGAGAAAGAAATAAAATGTAAGTGTTTGGTTAATATTTTCTTTCTTTTGTTAATATACTTTTTTTCTTCAGCTTTGGATGAGGGAGATATAGCGCTTTTGAAAACATATGTAAGTTCAACATTTTATTCACAAGAATTCTTAAACTTATTTGCTTCTCCATTATTTAGGGACAAGGACAATACACAAAAACGATTAAAACATGTGAAGATGACATTCAAACCATAATCAAACGAGTAAATGAATTGACTGGTATCAAAGAGTCAGATACTGGATTAGCCCCTCCTGCTTTGTGGGACTTGGCAGCAGATAAACAGATTTTGCAAAATGAGCAACCACTGCAAGTGGCACGCTGTACAAAGATCATTAATGCGGACACTGACGATCCCAAATATATCATCAATGTTAAACAATTCGCGAAATTTGTCGTCGATTTGGCAGATTCCGTGGCTCCTACAGATATTGAGGAGGGTATGAGAGTTGGGTAGGTAAAATGCCTATGATCAGGTGTAGTTATAAAATCATTATAGGAGGATCAAGTAAATGTGCATTGATAATAATTATAGTAGTTGAGTGTTTAAACTAGATCAGTAGGTGAATTCACTGCTAAATGCATTGGACATTGCGCTAAAAAAACTTATTCAATTCAATTGTGTTTTTCCATGAAGCTCCTTGAAAATATTTGTTTATTCAGTTCACAATAGCTTTGAAACTTTTTATTAGACATATATATCACTTGAGCGGTTGACATGAATGATTAACTTCCTTTTTTAGTGTTGACCGCAATAAGTATCAAATTCATATTCCACTTCCTCCCAAAATCGACCCTACTGTAACCATGATGCAAGTTGAAGAAAAACCTGATGTAACCTATAGTGATGTCGGAGGTTGCAAAGAACAAATTGAGAAGTTAAGAGAAGTTGTAGAGACACCTTTACTACATGTAAGTATTCTCTGAAAAAAATATACACTATCGTCAAAGTAAATTACAATCAGTTACAGTAATTCATAATCACCTTCAAACAAACATAAGACACCAGAGATATTAACAATTCATATTTATTTTTCACAAGCTTTATCCACAAGATTCTTTCTTAATGACAATAAGGTACATTGTTATTTTTATTATGTTAAAGGAAGAACATTTTATGTTTTCCATAAATAGGGCCGCCTATTCTTTGCAACAGAAAATATCAATTTGATGTCTAGTGAATAACAACTTCATCCACCGATGAAAATATATCGTTACAGTTACTTTACGAAAAATCAAACTTTCATTTCATCAGTCACATAGTTCTTTGCAATTTTAAATACTGTAATAATATTGATTCTACTTTCGTCAAACAAGGTCCCCGTCACTATTATCTCTTATAATCGGTCAGTAGCCAAGCAGTTCGGCGTGGGTGCTTTGTTCACTCACTCGAATTGACTGTCGTGTTGGTCGGTGGTTCAAGCCCTAGTCTCAACGATCGATCTTCACTTGCTATCGTCCAACCCGTGTTAGGAATCACACGTTAAAAGGTAAGACCTCGTTAATCCTTAGCTCGCACAAATTTCGACTTCTGAGGGTTGTAATTCGTAGAGGTGCGACAGCTGGTTAACGGGAAAACAGATTTTAAACAGATTTTTTTAATCAACAATTTCATGCAGTGATGGAAAGGTGACGACCCAAATCCAGTTATTCTATATTAACAATTGTTACTTAAAAAAAAAAGTGATTTTTGTGTAATTTTTCCTTCCAATATTTTTTTATTGTCCTAACGAATTTTCTTTCTCTTCTTTTTAATTTTTAAAATAGTTGAATTTTACTTACCCAAGGCACAATCTTGTGTAGCATAAACGTAGAAATATGCATTTGAAATTCTCTTTATTTCTTGATATCTTTAATGAATTACCACAAAATGAATAAGTCATCAATCATACATATTTCGAGTAGATGAAGTTATACACAAAAAGATAAATTGCAATTAAGGTTTTAAATCTGATTTTTGTGGCATGGTCATTTTCGTTTCTAATTTTTTTGATGAAAATTCATTCATATTTTGTCCTTTTGTATCATCGACCGAGGCTTATCAAAATATAATTTGGTTTTCCAAACTTTTTCTATTGACCAAAGTCCTAGTGAAATAGAAATAAATTCCACGATATTTTGAAACAATAGGAATTTGTTATTGTTTTTATTCTATTTTTTTGGAAAATGTCATTTACAGCATTTAAAGGTTTCAAATATTCATAACCTCACAATTTCTAGCCTGAAAAGTTCGTCAAGCTTGGTATTGAGCCACCAAAAGGTGTGCTTCTATTTGGCCCTCCTGGTACTGGTAAAACTCTATGCGCTAGGGCCGTAGCAAACCGCACAGATGCGTGTTTCATTAGAGTCATCGGATCGGAATTAGTGCAGAAATATGTTGGAGAAGGAGCCAGAATGGTTAGAGAACTTTTTGAAATGGCCAGATCTAAGAAGGCTTGCCTCATTTTCTTTGATGAAATAGATGCTATTGGAGGAGCAAGGTTCGATGATGGAGCTGGAGGTGATAATGAGGTATTTTGCATGTTAAACCCAATTGAAAAAGTCAAATTTCATTCTCAGTCTCATATGTTTTTATGAAGTCATTTATAGTTTTCAAAACCGTGGCTCAGCCTTTGAACTGGTTTGAGGGCGCAGGTTAGGTTAATTGATAAATTAATGGTTGAATTAATTTTTCATGAATGAAACGAGACTATTGACAGAAAGTTAATTTACTTTAAACCGTTTTCCTGAAGAGAATATAGTATTTCTTCTGGTTGATAGAAACTATGTTGTAGTATTTTTTTTAAAAACAATGGAAAAATTCATGAAATGACTTTTTTTGTGGAAAACACAATATTTTATACTGTTTTTTTTTTGTGTTAATAACCTTCTACAGTCTGAAAAAATGAAAGCTAGATCAATAGAGAATCTGCTGAAGTGTAGTAAAGAGCAAACTGAAAAGTTCATTTGAAAAGTTACTACATAATATAAATTACTAAATAAATATTGATACTTAGCTATCTTAAGTGGTAACATTTTTGAGAAACAATCCTTTTTCGTTTTTGAAACCTGTATTCACTTTAAAAATCTCGCCTCAAACTGTGATGGTTCTATTTTCTTTCGACTTGTGTCAATGTAATAACCATTCAACCAATACATGTTTTACTTGTCTTACATTAATATTGGTGAATATCATAGTTGCTCCTAATAGGTTATTCATTAATTGAAATGAAAGAAGTTTGTCAATAATTTGCTTTTAGTACTATTCAATTATCAATAACTGAAATTCATGTCAATTATATCTTTCACTTCAATGAAAAATGGTAGCCTATTATCATTGATAACTGTTGTAAAATGAACTCCATTTTTGTTTTCAGGTTCAGCGAACTATGTTGGAACTGATCAATCAACTGGACGGTTTTGATCCTCGTGGAAACATCAAAGTTCTAATGGCTACCAACCGTCCAGATACTCTCGACCCAGCCCTAATGAGACCCGGTCGTCTAGACCGTAAAGTTGAGTTTGGTCTGCCGGATCTCGAAGGTCGCACACACATTTTCAAAATTCACGCCCGTTCTATGTCCGTCGAAAGAGACATTCGTTTTGAACTGTTGGCCAGGTTATGTCCAAATTCAACTGGTGCTGAAATAAGGAGTGTCTGTACTGAAGCTGGAATGTTTGCAATCAGAGCAAGAAGGAAGGTCGCAACTGAAAAAGATTTCTTGGAGGCTGTCAATAAGGTTATCAAGTCATATGCCAAGTTCTCCGCTACACCCAGATATATGACTTATAATTAGATATTGTGTGAATTTTTACTCTCATGGTGGAGTGAGAGAAAGTAAATCAAGTTTTTGATAATTTGTTTATTTTTTTGTTTTAAACATAGACACTGTTGAAAATCTGATCCTGTTGACATAATATCAGCACTACCTTCCTATTTATTCATTGATATGACAATTTTGTACAAAACAGTTTCATCTAGAAACATGAAGAAACGGGCTGTTTCTATGGTTTAATCAATGAGTTTTTGTGCGTCCTCAATCAAGGCCTTTGATTGCCTGAATCATAATTTGTTTTAAAATTCCATCAATATTTGGATGCAGAGATGTGAATTGGTTTGAATTATATTTTTCAGGACGAAATCAAATGACGCGGATAAAAGAGCTCTCAGAGAGTAAGGAAAATGAATCTTGTGTGCCAAAGGGTTCTGCGTTTGGTCCTATTCCGTGTCTGTTATATAAATATGTTATTGACATCACAATGATTGACATATTTGGTCATTTCCACTCCTTTGATACAAAAATGATACAAAAATATTGTGCAAGGGAAAAAGCTCAACAAATATATGTAAAATGATGTAGGATTTGAAAATGGTAAAAAGTTGGTGTAATGCTAATATACTGATATATGTATATAGTATACTAATCATTGATATAATCTATCGAATAGGAAAGTTTTTTATGAGGACTTTTTTCAGCAAGGTGGAAAATTATCTCGAGGTTTTGTTTTTCAGGAGGTCTAGGATCTTCTTATATAATTTTGCTCCCCTTAATCGCATCCTTACTGTGTTTCATTCAGTCAGTGATGTAGAATTCAGCGGCTTCACTTCAACAAAATTTTCAGTGCTAACTGTCGTTCTAGCTTGGTTACGATTTTTTATTACAAAGCTTGAATTTTTCGTTCAGATTGAAGGGTTATGCGTCAAAATAATTTTTTTTTTTTTAAAGGTGCAAGTCCGTCAGCCGCAACATGTCGCTCTATTGCCGTACCGTTTTTTTATCGCACAAAGCTCAATATTTTATTGAAGTTGCTCGTAATTTCCTATAAATGATAGACTTCTACTTGCTCAACAAATTTCCAGTTGGTGATTTTTCAGTCCGATAACCTGAATTGGTATGTGGACACCCGGCAATTTTGAAAAAATGTAAAAATGTTTGACTGTACTTACGTATTTTGATGCGTAGATTACGAATCCGAAAGAAAAAAGCGGCGCTCTCCCTTATTTAAAAAGTTACGGCCCTTCAAAGTTCAGAAAAGGGCAACTTTTCAGCCTTCTTTTTCACTAAATAAACTATTTAAAAACACAAGCATTTATTCACTAGGTCACCTTTACACCTTATTCCTCCGTCTTTAACACTTTTCACTACAATAATCAACATTTTTCTTATAAAAAACTTAATTTAAAAACGAATGCTTCTCCTTCTATTTTTAGGTTACTTACTAGTGGCATTTCAGAAAAAAGCGGTTGATATTTGCCGTCGCCTACTATTTCAAATTCGTAATACACCACCAAAAACCAATTTACGATCTAAAGAATGAAGGTAAAAAACATTTGAATTACTTCAGGAATATGGACAGCATCAGTCGTACCAACCATATCATTAACCTTAAAAACGTAAAATACAGTGATATGTAACCAAAAAGCAGCTCCGTACATTTTTTAACATTTTTATAAGAAAAATGTTGATTATTGAAATGAAAAGTGTTAAAGAAGGAGAAATAAGGTGTAAAGGTGACCTAGTGAATAAATGCTTGTGTTTTTAAATAGTTTATTTTGTGAAAAAGAAGGCTGAAAAGTTGCCCTTTTCTGAACTTTGAAGGGCCGTAACTTTTTAAATAAGGGAGAGCGCCGCTTTTTTCTTTCGGATTCGTAATCTACGCATCAAAATACGTAAGTACAGTCAAAAATTTTTTCAAAATCGCCGGGTGTCCACATAACGAAAATTTACCCTAATAAATAAGTAAAACGATTGTAAGGTGTTCGAGTAAATAATGAAGTTGTTGAATTTCATTAAATCTGGAACTCACTTGTAAACTACTTGTATCTTATTTGTGGGGTAAATATTCGTTTTGAAAGCACCCGACGATTTTGAAAAAAATTTTGAGTGTACTGTAGGAATCCCAAAGAAAAAAGCGGCGCTCTCCCTTATTTACAAAGTTTTCAGCCTTCTTTTTCACAAGATAAACTATTTGAAAACACAAGAATTGTTGAAGTGAAAAGTGTCAAGAAAGGAGGATTAAGGTGTAAAGGTGACCTAGTGAATAAATGCTTGTGTTTTTAAATAGTTTATTTTGTGAAAAAGTAGGCTGAAAAGTTGCCCTTTTCTGAACTTTGAAGGGCCGTAACTTTTTAAATAAGGGAGAGCGCCGCTTTTTTCTTTCGGATTCGTAATCTATGCATCAAAATATGTAAGTGTACTCAAATTTTTTTTCAAAATCGCCGGGTTCCCTCAAAACGAATATTTACCCATAGTTCTCTGCAATTTGAAATACTGAAATAATATTTACGTTTACTTTACTTTCATCAAACAAGGTCCTCGTCGCTATGATCTCTTATAATCAACAACTTCATCTACTGGTAAGAAGATGGCGACCCAAACCCAGTTATTATATATCAGGTAATTAGGTTATTAATATTAGTACAATGTTAGTAACATTGATATATTAACTTAAATAAAAAAAAAATCATTGACCGTCAACCATATTTTCCAAATGGCTCTAAAACCGCAGTCATTTACATTTGAGCTCTGTGGAAAATTTTAATCTTGCTGCCGTTTCTGTAAAATATTGATTTATCAATGTTTACCAATAGACCAATAGATGGTGAAGCTTGGTCAAAATTGAATTTGATAATTTTTTTGTTGTCTGTTTTCCGTGGAACATAATATTCCTTCACTTGAATATAATCGTCATTAACTAAATATAATTTTATGTCATTACCGGTAAAATTCAATTACAGTTGTTCAAGTGATTTCTGTAAATAACAATCAGGTTCGTTCAAAACCATGTGAACATTCAAAAGTTTTTGCATCAAAGGATTCAATGTAGCTTTCCAGTAAGGATATTGAATAATTGTAATAATAATTGTGTTCACGGAATTTGAAAGATTATATAATATACAATTGCAAGTAATTTAAGGGAATCCTCAAGGGGTAGTGTTGATGAGAAAATTTGTTTTGTGGCTCCTGGTCGACCTTCGAAAAAAAAATTACATTTGCTATTTTTGCTGAGGTCGAAACAGGAAAATGTTATTCAACTAGTATTGTCCCAAAAATCCTTTTTCGTGTGCTCTAGGAAGCCCAAGTTCAAAGGAATTGGTTTTGTAACCAGGTAGCCAAGAAGAAAAAACAATTAGAAATTTTCGGGACATGAATCTCTCCAACAAATATAAAAACTGGCAATGTATTGTTAAATATCGCCAACAACTATAAAAATGTACTTGAAATCTCATAAGTTCCACATAAATTTAACGAGATAATCTATGCTATGTAATCCAGTATGATGGAAGCTGAATTTATTTATCTGAATAGATAGACAGGCATACCTATTCTTCTGGCTGACTACATTTCTAAATTCAACATCTTTAAACATTTTTGTGAAATGCACTTCCTTCCACTCCATTACAGAATTTACCACTGAGCTGAGGTATATGAAAAACTCTTTAGAAATAAAAGACATTCTTTATTAAATAATCAAATAAATATTCTTTGTCAAAATCTTTATACACATAAGTACAAACAGGATTTGGCAGCTTAAAAAAACTGGAATAGATTCAAAACCTAGGAACTCGATAGGTAATAAAAAAAATTTGGCACTTTCAGTCATTATCATCTTTCTTTTTTCTCAATTTTCCCTCTCGCTGAATGGTCTTCGAGACCATATCTACACACTCCGAAGTAGAAGGCTCATTCCCGCTTGGTTCATCAACAATGGAAGACAACGTCATTATGTAAGAACAAGCTATCCTCAAAACGGACAACTTGGACAGTTTCTGATTGTGGGAATACGAGGGAATAGACCTTCTGAGAGTGTCAAAAGCCGCACTTATTGTATGCACCCTCGTCCTCTCTCTCGCATTGGCCTCTATCCTCCTCTCCCTAGTCATGTTCTTGTAATTCCTCTGCTCTCTCCTTTGGCTCTCGAGGGACTGCTTACTGCTGCCGCTTGTAGATGGAGCTTGCAACGAAGGAAACACCTCGTTGGATTCCAGAATCATTCTTTCAGTTTCCACTGTGGAAAGGCTTTGGATCTGGGGGTGGATAGGTACACGCAAGTCTTGAGAACTAGTATCACTTTCTTCTGCTTTGATGGTATCGACATTTTCACGTTTTTTCACTAGAGAAACCGGCTCGGTCTGTTGATAAAACGGGATAGGAGAAGGGGGTCGGAAATAGGGGGCAAACTGAGGTTCCAGTTTGGGCTGTGTTCTGGATTGGTAAACACTGTTTGGTGATGGCACTGAGAAGGAAGCTTCGTTCTTTATTCTAATCTCTTCTCCACCTTCGTTGGGAGAGGGACTCCAAGGTCTGAAGGGATGATTATCGCTAATTTCGGCTTTGACTTTCAGGCACATTCTCTTCTTCAAGGGCCCCGCGAAAGTTCCGGATGATTTTCTGGACTCTGGCAATTTTCTCTTGTTGTTCAAGGAGATGGCGGAAACTTTGACTTCCACGCTATCATCGGAGCTATCAGTTGGCGAGTGGATGTCGTTTTCCAAATAATCTTCGCTCGAACAGAATCCCATGTCTTCTGCAGTTGGAAGAGCCATTTCAATATCTGAAACAATGAAAAAGAAATGAATATACGTTTTCAGAATTTGGAATAATGGATGATATTAAGAAATGGATATTTTCAGTGAGATTTTCCTACGTTGTAATCTCCAGAAGATTAAGAAAAACTTGAACTTGTCCCTTCACCAAATTTTGGCTCGATAAACACTATCAGTCCAAGCAACATGTTCTTTTTTAACAATTTTGCATCAACTTTGACCGAAAATTTATGATTGAGGTGTCATTCGATTCAAAATAGCATCTAGAAACTCTGAAATATTTGAAGTTCAGCGTAAAAATATTGCAGATGTTATAAAAAGATAAGTAAAAAATGAAAAATGGGTTTCGTTCTTTGTAAATATTTCGAAAACTATAAAAGTTTTCGGAAACATGAAAAAAGACCCTTGAAGACGTAGAAATGTCTCACAAAAAAGTCACATATCAGAACCCTACCACCAATAATTATTAATTTAATTTATCGGTTAAAATAGTACTAAATTTGGGTAGTAAGCGCGCTGATGCAAAGTATGTAGTCATCGTAATTCAAGGAAATTGAGAAGTATGCGAATCTTGGACTATGATCTTATATGTAAATATTAGAATATAATTTGCTCATTCTATATTTTAATAGTGAGGTCATTAGCGTTTATTTTGCATTAAGGTTATCACTTCTAAAATTTCCATTCATTTGTAAAGCAGAATTATTGTTAACAATTTATTCATTCAAAAGTGTGATAGATACATGTTCAAGTGAATCATTTTACCGGCCTTACCTCGCGTTTGAAATATATTTAATGCAATGACTTTATCGACAGACCGATTCTATTAATCAGAGTTAGAGTTAGAAATTATTTTTGTGTAGAAACAGTATACAGTTTTATTTGGTATTATTTTAATTTATTTTCTACTCACGTTCCTCTTTATAAATAAGAATCAGCAGGAAATGATATGGATTTCTAGAAATAAAATCAATTTGAATAGTTGAGTAGTTGGCGCAAAACAAATTCAATATAATGAATCTTGGTAATACACACTCCTCTATCTGTTAGTTAATCATAATTTTAGTGTGATTTCATTATTTATTTTATTACTTTATCCGTCATCAAAGCGAATCGTGATGTTACTTAGAAGTATTTGAATTATCAAGTAGCGCCATTTGTCTGTCAAATAATAATACAAAAATCGATGGAAAAAACATTTTAATTTGTCATCGAGTAATATTTTTTTAATACTTCATCTCTACTTTCAAGTAGGAGTTTGGTCTCGAGTGTAATTGTAGAATGAGTTTGTATGGTATTAACGAGGGTATTATTGTACAATAGTGATCGTAAACTTGTTTGTAGTTTTGGTGAAAAACAGCTAAACCCTTTGATTTTTGTATTTAATTGGTGCTATGTATTTCAGTTTTACCGTATTTACTGTTTTTTATTGAGCGATCATTTTCATCTACGAACGATGCCTATTTTGTTATTACTTCGAGATTTCATTTTTTGTTGCTTGGAAACAGTCTTTTATAGTTTTGTGACTTCAAATTATCTTATTTGAAAATTGGAGTTATTCATATACTGCAGATTGAAATTAACAATTGTCCACCATGACAGAATAAAGTGGTTAGTAGCAGTAGCCACATGGTGTCGTTATTATTACTTTGTGCCAGTTTGTGGATTTATACCGGGTTCTTTCGTCAATCCAATACCAACAAATTTAGTTGTTCTTTCTTTCTTTGGAACTTAAAAACATCAACTTCTTCTGTTATACATTTTCAGGTTTTCTTATGTATTTTATTACATATTTTTGTTTTCTCCTATTATATTCCGTTATATAGGTACCTTCGTCAGATATAAAATATGTAGGTATGTATATTTTCTTTTTTTTTCAACCCTTTATTATGAAATAACTGGCCACTTTCCTACAGCACACGCCAAATAATTGAAATTTATAAACACATTTTTTAATGTCTTGGTGTTTACATTATAGCAATTTACGTAGGGATACCTAAATTTTTTCAAATAAAATATGGTACAATTTTTATGCTCACTTTTAAAATTTGTAATTCGTCTGTCTCTTCCATCATTTGCAGAAAAATTTAATTTTTGTTCAGCTTCCACAGCTGTCACTGGCAAACAAATTGAACCTTTGATACTGATTCAACACGTTCACTGTTTACTTAACGAACTTAATATAACATACGTGAATGCGTTATCTTATAAAGAGTCTGATAAAAAGACAATTTAAATTTTGATTTTATCTGAATCCACTGAAATTCTGTATATAATTGCAACGTCAAAATTTAGAATATCGATTAGCGACATTTCATAAAAACTGATTATATATTTTAGTACATGTGTACTTACTTTGTATACGCCAACTTGGAAAAGACCGAAAGAAAGTGTTTATTCACTAGAAAAAATGTGGGATGATGATAAATACCTAGATCACACACACTTTTCTTTCGGTAAACTTACTGCCAAACTGTTTTTGCTTAACAATTCAATGTGGTTCAATTTCGTTTTTGAATGAACGTTTGTAGTAATGAATGTATCGAGGGGAATTTTCGTGAGACTGTTTAATGCGTGTTAGCAAATTTTGAATCAATAAATACTCCCACACCACAAAATCCAAACTATTTTCTATTAATAGTCGCACTTGTGTAAAAATGTGTTATAATCTCAACATCCCGAAATTTTTCATTGAGGATTTCTAATAATAGTGCCCATTACGAAAATAAAACTATTTTCGAGAAAAAATAATAAACAATTATCCGAAATAACGTTCAGTGGAGGTACGTTGGCGAAATTTAATTCCGTAAAAATTGTTTCTTGAGAAACTCACCTTTCACGTGCAATTTTCGAAAATCTCCATTCGTCATAATCCCATAAAAACAAAAAAGGCTAATATCACAGCACTAGAAGTTTTTCGACAAACTATTATGGCACATCAATTTACTAAGTGCGAAACAAAAACAAAAATTCACTCGTACTGGAGGGTAAATTGGACAGTCGAGTGTATGCGACCGACTGACTTATGTAAGGGGACGTGCTGCACTGAAGTTGTCATGAATGTTTTCAGTTGTATGGCCCCTACCAGGGGGGAGTGTGGGCGCAGCTTGGCGCCAGTTGTCTGGCCAGGCTGACTTGTTAAGTGTGAGAAGTAACAGGGCAGAGGGCCGCTGCTTTGGAATGTGCAGAGACGGATTCGGAAATTCGAAAGCGATCGTAATTGGGGAGCGCTCACAGTGTTTGGTTTTCTGGACGTTGCGTTGGTTGAAGTGAAATGAAATGAGTGTTGAAGAACGGCCAGAAACACGAAAAGTTTCGCATTAAAGATATGCTAAATGAGAATATGTGAAAAACTAGTTCCGGGTAATTATTATTTATAAAAACACTAGTTGTTACCGGCGGCTTCGCCCGCGTAGAATTTGGTTTGTCACATTAGGTTCCGTGACAGTAGAATCGACTTTCAGTAAGAGGTATAATTCAAGAGAAACCGAAAAGGTTTCCGTGGTATGAATACGTAATAAACAAAAACTTTATCTATCTGTGCGATGCAATTGACCAATATTGATGAAAATTCATAACGTATTCGAGTAACACTTTATTGTGAGATCAGAATTTGGCTATCTCAAAATTATTTTCAATTTAATAAATTGATGTAGCGAAAGGCTACTGATGAAAAACCCGTTGAGTCCTTCGCTACCTGAATTTTTTATGGATAACCTTGAAAATGAAATTCAGAATCATCAGTTTACTAACAGTGTCTTATATCTATCGGTACCTGATACGTTGATGATAGACATGTCAGTATGTGTTACTGGTAGGCAGTCGGGCAAGTTTGTCGAATTTGTCAATTACATAGTCACCCATCGATAAATTGCAATTTGCCACAAATCATCTTATACAGACATTGTCCTGCATAATTCAAAGAAGTGGCTTAAGGAGAAAACTCAAGCACTACAGAAAAATCCTCAAGGCACTCTAGATTTGAATTGCTGGAGATTAAATCCGTTTGAGCAGCCACAGTCCGTTGCGTAATTGTGATATGTACCGCTTTTGGTGGAATCAGATTTGCCAAGTCAATCAAACACTTCCCGAGAAAATATCTATAGAAGAGAGACGGATCTCCAACTTCTCTCTGATGTTCCAGACTATCAAAGTTGCGAATGATGTTCGCGTCTCAGGATATACTTAAGGGCGGAGCTCCATACATGAGACCAATAGATACTCCAAAGAAGGTTTGATCTAGGCTTTATGAGGCATCAAAAGTTGCTGACGTATGTACACTTTTCTGGTTCGAATCAGTGTTTCAAGCTTTTGAGAAGCGGCCCTTGCAATTGGAGCGACATGATTGTGGCAAACATATTGGTGTCCATTTTATTTTAACCCCCAACAAACTTTTTCATCAAAAACAATAAAGACAAAACTTCAATGTCGGATAGATCACAAGTTGACTTGTGGTTTTTGACCAAAACTTTATACTGGCTAAACGGGTGGAATCTTCAGCTACATAATAAAAAACGGGAGAAGTTGCTTGAATGTGAAGACCAATTCCACATTTGCTAACATCTATTGGAAGATGGACAGGAGTTCAACCACGACTATAACGTGTTACATTTGGAAGAGAAACGTTCGAAACTGAATCTTTTGGAATGCTAGGAAATTAATAAATCTAAAAATTCGAAAAATTTGTTGAATGGCCATAAAAATGGAATTATATTATTCACTTCTATTGAATCTGTTTCCTAATGTAAAGATTGGTAATTAATTTATCACATGTCCGTGTAATGAGTTGGTGAAATTTCTTTTATAATGTTTAAATTTTTGATAAGTTCATACCTAAACTCTGATAAAATCATCAGTTTCAAGTAGTTAGTTTCTTCCATAATGCCCCAATATTTTTAAACCCTGGTGAAATTATTAGTCCTTAAGTAGGTAGAAGGTCATATGAATAACATTGTTACTATATGAAACACTTATTAGCTTTTCAGTATGAACACCCCTGTAGAAGCTAATGTGTAGTGCAAAACGTGTTGCAATTTTGCAAACTGTCCAGTGAAAATCTCACAATGAAGTGTTATTTGAATAATAAACTTCATCAGATCAATCTGTTCGATGTGAACTAGACATGCAATGTACACAGAACATAAATTCAAAACACCTTCAGCTGAAAACTCAAAATGCCCGTGTGGAAAAGCTGGTACGATACATCATTTGATTTAAGAATGTGCTGAACATTTGAACAACCTATACAAATAATTGAAAAGTAGAAATATAATATATCCAATAAGATTGGAAGAACTACTGGTCAATAGATACAATTCAATGATTTTCTAGATTATTTTTGAATTCACCAAAAAAATTAATATTAAAATATTAGAATTATATTTTTCCCTGTCTATTTCAGCATTTTTGTTGAAAGAACAATGTTTTGTGATATATTGTATTTCCATTTACTACCATCTCATTGTATGTCCACATTCCGCACCTTATGTGCATCATGTTCGTCAGTATCACACACTCCGTTAGTCCTCCCCAAGTGTACTTTCACTTTCGAGTGATTGCCACGTTTGTGAGATGACTGGCATACTTCCTTGTACAACAAATTATCTTATGACGTAAATCCCATTATTCTAGAAAAATAATAATCAGAACTGGAGTACCTCCTTTAATTTTTGCCACTTCAGAATTTTTAATAAACAGGTGCACAGGTACACACCATACAAGTTCAAGTGAACTTGATTTTGGATTATCTTATAAATGAGTGCATTTGAAGGAATGAGAAAAAAGATAGTAATATTGATATTAATATTAATAGAAATAATACAATACAGTATTGTAACGCCTGAAGATGTTATTGTATAACGAAAAACGTGTCGCAATTTTGTGAACTGTCAAGTGGAAATCTCACATTGAAATGTTTTTTGATTGAATTAAACGCAACCATTGATTATGAAAGGGCAGACATGAAACTCAGTAATCATGTGGAAAGATTGTGTCTTATCTTGGATGAAAACTTATATTGGAAAAGCATATTTTGGGCAAGTTGAAACTTTGCTATCACAAAAATAAATCGCTATAAATATATAAAAAATACTCTCTCCTCAAGGTACAACATGGAATCTCGACAATGGTGTCATCTTGACGCATATTCATTATATCTCAATCGTATATTACCAGTTTTGAACTGAATACAACAAAAATAATTTGCAAGTTCTTCAGAGGTTTAGTAATACCAACATAAGAAGAAACCATACAACACCGGTTTATAATAGATTGGGGATCCTGAAAATTGGCAATAGATTTGTCCTACTATTAAGAACCACTTTGTACAGAACTGTCATCATAGGAATACCGAGTTACTTGTTTGAACTGCTGAATAAAAGATCCACGCCTACCCCGTTAACTTACCTAATCTTAACTCAGTGTATAATTTACCTAGGCTTTCTAAACCCAGATATAAAAAAGTTTTGAATACTGGGCACCATTTATACCCAATAAATACTCATTCAGACAACTCTAAAGCAAATATAAGAAACATTTACCAGCCTCACAATCTGGCTAATATAATTCAATATATAAGGTATACTTCAACTTACATGTTATATTAATGTTTGTTCCATGTTTTATTTGCACATATCCATATGTGTTCATTACTAATATGTTACTATATTTAATAACACTATATCCACTATTTTTGTACATAACAAGTGTTCATTCCGAATATTTTATTCTGTTAAATCGTCTTTCCATTCATTGGCAGTTGTGAAAAATGGCTATGCCGTTGAACCTCTAGAAATATTATTGTTTTCAGCACATTTCATTAAGCAAAATATCGATCATTGTAAAAATTATTATTGATCGAATAATTATTTATTATACACCGACATCAAAAGGGCTCCTCAAACTGAGCTTTGGGGTACACATAAACTTATGGAACCCAAATAAGTCTTAGGACTCGGCGAAAGACTCCAACCTGAATCCTGCACTGTACAAAATTCATACGAGGACGATCGTCGGTGATGCAGGTGGACCGCTTTTTCATCAAAATTTCGGTGGAAGGCTACAGGTACCTGGTAGGGGGTATTTGGCTTTTTAACGCCACTTGTAATATCACGCTTCGACAGGTACCCATTGGCAGGCCGACTAATTGTTGTTATCAACATGGGGAAGCAGCAATAAAACCTAAAAGGCGTGTTATTATTTTAAACTGTAATAATGGAACAGTGGCGGCACCGCTAATCACAGTAGTGCGACTAGAAAAATTGAGTGGGAGGACAACCTGTCCTAGTTGCCTGGATGAGGTTTTGTCTATTCCGATATCACTGCCAATTTAAATGTCTCAATTTGTTGTTTTTGAATAATTTCGATTCTAAGAGATTCCAAACTATGGGAAAAAATAATTTTCGAGAGGAAAAATGGACTGGCGCTGAATAAATATCAAAAATGGAAATGAAAAACTCAAAAAACGCAAGGAAATAATTTCATCATGATGATATTTGAAATTGCAGGTAACTAAAAAAGACAATCGTTGAAAAATTCTCAATTTATCAATAGTAATACCACAAGACCTCAGAATTTTATTAATGAATTTCCAATTTTAACGAAAACTTTGTTATTTACCGATATTTACCATGAGAATGAACATGTCAAAGAAATCAATAAAAGCATAAACAGTATCATGAGATATGTCAATATTTGCAATAAATTCAAATAATAATTACTGACTTATAGTTTTTGGATGACTTACAATTTTCTCCGTCCATTAATTTTTGCTAATGATGTTAATTTGAATACGTAGAATAAATTAGAAGAAAATTTTCATGTGTTCCTTTTTTTTTGTCCAGAAGATTCAGTTCATGTTATATCACTTACTTTTTGTGATTTTACTTTTGTTATTTCATTTATATGTTATTTATTTTTTGGGAAAGAAAGTTTTTGGCTTTCTACTACTCCATCTTGATACAAGGAGTTCTGTAATAATACACACATTTTTTAAGAAAATGAGAATGTCATTCAAATTGATGGATATTGTCAAACGTAACTGAAACAAATTTCAGAAAATTCCATTTAGTTATTTCGAAATTTCGAATATTATTTTCAGCT